GCTTCTGGTGCCCTCGACTTGTGGCATTTGAGTTGATTGACTCAGCGCGCGAGGAGTCTCCGCCCTCGGTATCTGGAGGTTCCTTCCGGGCGGCGAGAATCTGATCGTCGTCCCAAGACTCGTCGTAGTCTTCCAGAGGGCGGTAGAATGGGGCGAGTTTGCGGTCGATGATGAGCTGAGTAACTACCGCCTGGTTCCAGTCCCGAGGACCCGTGTATATGCCTTGCGGAGTGAGATAGCCGAAGTCGACCATCTCCTCATGGTGCCCGCGGCCAGAGGAGGCACTGTTTCCCATGGTGGGGAACAGGAAGGAGCGAAGAGTGAACGGAATGCGGAATGAAGGTCGAGGACAAGAGGCAGGCCTCCACTCGCAAGAGACCGCCGGATGCAGGCTGTCGTCACAGCCCAAGTGACGGGACGAACAACCCCGACGGACTCGAGCTCGGCTAACCCCGACCGTCTCCTTCGGACGCCCATCTACCACAATCGTCCTTTTCATTTGTTCTCGACCTCGCATGCCTCACGTCTCGATGATTTTGTCGTACGCACAGCGAGACAATGATCCATGGTGCTTCATTCCGGCTACCGCAGGCTGCGTTTGCTTTGTCGCGTCGAATGGCAGCGAGTGTATTGGCAGGTCGAAGTCGAAGCGTCCAGAATGCACTCGTCGTACTCGTAATTCCCTTGCGTGTGAGACATACACGAGAGCTCGAAAGACCACGCCGAGTCTCTCGAGAACGAAGTAGCCTCGCATGCATCCAAAGGCTGCTTGAACCTCACACGGCCTGACACTCATGGGCGCCTCTGCATGAATCCAACTCCCTCACGGTCCCTACATACGTGCATCTTTCGCATACGATATATCCAGAGTATGTCATGTGGTCCATGAAATTGTTTGTTCTGCGTTCCCAAGCACACGAACGACATACGTCTTGAGCGAGCAACTTTTCCACCCCGGGGAGAGCCCGGGAAACGGAGCCAGGGCCCGAGGAGAACCGCCACGTCAGCTAAGCGCGGTAACTTGGCATTTATACTCGAGCGCTCCTTAGCCGAGCGACTTCTCCAGAAATCCAGACCGCATACCCCATCCTCCATACCTTTGCATATTTTCTCCATCGCTCGCTGCTGCTACCTTGCTCAACGAGCCAAGGCCTGGCATCATGGAAACTCCATGGACCAAGACCGGGGAGGAAATCCTGCAGTACTACAGCGTCGACCAGACGCGGGGTCTGACGTCGGAAGCTGCTGCTAAACACGCTGAGCTCTACGGGAAGAACGGTATGTAAACTATGTCTTGCAGTTGGGCGCGGGCGTTGACGATGCCTAATAGAGCTCCCCGAGGATCCCCCAACACCTCTTTGGGAGCTCATTCTCGAGCAGTTCAAGGACCAGTTGGTTCTTATCCTTCTTGCCTCGGCGGTCGTCTCCTTCGTACTCGCACTTTTCGAAGATTCAGAAGGCTCGAGCTGGTGGAGCGCATTTGTCGAACCGCTCGTCATTCTACTCATCCTGATCGCGAACGCGACTGTTGGCGTTATCCAAGAGACTAATGCAGAGAAGGCCATTGACGTCAGTATATCACCTTGGCTATCCGTCTTAACGATGCTGACCCTTGCACAGGCTTTGAAGGAGTACTCGCCCGACGAAGCCAAGGTTCTACGTGACGGCCAATGGACTCGCATACATGCAACTGAACTTGTCCCCGGAGACATTATCTCTATCGCTGTTGGCGACAAGATCCCTGCGGACTGTAGGCTGCTATCTGTTGCTTCCACCAGCCTCCGCGTCGATCAGGCTATCCTCACGGGCGAAAGTGTCAGCGTTGGAAAAACTGTCGACGTGGTCTCTGACGCCAGGGCTGTGAAGCAGGACATGACTAACATCTTGTTCTCCGTGAGTTGCGACCGGCCATGCCCGGTCACACGTTCGACGGCTGATCTCTGGCTTCGATAGGGCACCACGGTCGTAAACGGCAAGGGAACTGCTGTCGTCGTCTTCACTGGCGAGAAGACTGCTATTGGCGATATTCACAAGTCGATTTCGTCGCAGATTAGCGAGAAGACTCCGCTTAAGCGCAAGCTCGACGACTTTGGCGACATGTTGGCGAAGGTCATCACAGTTATCTGTATACTGGTTTGGCTCGTCAACGTCCGTCATTTCTGGGACCCCGCGCATCATGGCGTCCTGAAGGGTGCGGTGTACTACTTCAAGATTGCTGTTGCGCTCGCTGTCGCTGCTATCCCCGAAGGACTCGCCGCTGTGATTACTGCGTGTCTTGCACTCGGAACCAAGAAGATGGCGCAGAAGAACGCTATCGTTCGCAACCTCCCTAGTGTTGAAACTCTGGGCTGCACCAATGTGATCTGCTCCGACAAGACGGGTACTCTCACAACCAACCAGATGAGCGTTTCGAAGGTTAGTATTTATCATTATCGTAATCTCGCAAGGTCACTTATTCGGCACCGGCAGTTCACCGTGATCGACATCTCAGGCACGCCCAGGGAATTCCTTGTGGAGGGCACGACTTTCGCGCCTACAGGGTCGGTTCGCCCCGCGGATGGTAAAGCCATCACTGAAGTGCCCTCAGAACCCCTTCGTCGCCTCGCTGAGATCAGTGCTATCTGCAATGACTCTAAGATAATTTACCATGCGGTACGTCCCCCATATGCCATTTCGACGACTCATTGAGCCCTATACCTATGCATCTACAGGAGAAGAACACCTACGCCAATCTTGGCGAGCCGACGGAAGCAGCGCTCAAGGTGCTGGCCGAGAAGCTCCCTTGTCCCGACCCGGAGCTCGCGAAGAACTTGCCCTACCTCGATCCGGCGTCCCGTGCTAATGCGGTGAACGACTTCTATGAGCGGAACATCCCTCGTCTTCTCACCTTCGAGTTCTCTCGCGATCGCAAGATGATGTCTGTCCTCGCGCAGAAGAACGGTACTGGCGTCTTGTTTGCCAAGGGCGCGCCCGAATCCATCCTCGAGCGGTGCACTTCGGTTCTTGTGAATGGCCGTACCATTCCCCTCATCCCGCAACTCCGCGACGCACTCCTCCAGAGCACCATCGCCTACGGAACCCAAGGTCTTCGCACTCTCGCTCTGGCCTACGCTGAGAACCAACCCCTCGACGCTGATTACTACAAGTCCGAAACGACGGCCGGGTATTCGCGCTTCGAGAAGGACCTCACCTTCGTCTCGCTCGTTGGCATGCTCGACCCTCCGCGTCCCGAGGTTCGCAACGCCGTCGCGCAGTGCCAGGCTGCCGGTATCCGTGTAATCTGCATCACGGGCGACAACAAGGGTACAGCGGAGACGATTTGCAGGCAGATTGGCATCTTCGGCGAGAACGAGGACCTTACTGGGAAGAGCTACACCGGACGCGAGCTCGATGAGCTCAGCCCCGAGGAGAAGCTCCAGGCGGTCATGCGGGCGAGCCTGTTCAGCCGTACGGAGCCTAGCCACAAGAGCCAGTTGGTTGACCTTCTGCAGAGCCAGGGTCTCGTTGTTGCGATGGTGAGTCCATGTCGTAGTATGTTCTGACACACGTGCTAATGAGAATGGCAGACGGGTGATGGTGTAAACGACGCGCCTGCGCTGAAGAAGGCGGACATCGGTGTGGCAATGGGCAGTGGTACCGATGTTGCCAAGTTGGCGGCGGATATGGTCCTCACCGACTCGAACTTCGCTACCATCGAGCAGGCCGTCGAGGAGGGTCGTTTGATCTACAACAACACGAAACAGTTCATTCGCTACCTCAGTAAGTCATTACATCTGGCCAAACGTTGAATTCGATATCTGACACCGTTCTAGTCTCGTCAAACATTGGAGAGGTTGTTAGCATCTTCCTAACGGTCCTTCTTGGCATGCCCGAGGCTTTGATCCCCGTGCAGCTTCTCTGGGTCAACCTGGTCACTGACAGTCTGCCCGCGACCGCGCTCGGTTTCAACCCTCCCGACCACAGCATCATGCGCGTCCCTCCCCGAGACAGCCGTGAGCCGATCGTCACTAAGTGGCTCTTCTTCCGCTACCTCGTCATCGGAGCCTACGTTGGTGTCGCGACTGTTGCGGGTTACGCCTGGTGGTTTATGTTCTACACTGGCGGTCCCCAGATCTCGTTCTACCAGCTGGTAAGTTCTCTACTAAGATTACAGGTGTAAACCAGTGTCTGACCTAACATTTGCCTCTTAGACCCACTTCCACCAATGCTCGGCGCTCTTCCCCGAAATCGGCTGTGAGATGTTCACGAACGTGATGGCGAAGCGGGCGACGACAATGAGTCTCTCGATCCTCGTCACAGTCGAGATGTTCAACGCGATGAACTCGCTCTCCGAGAACGAGAGCTTGCTCAGGCTGCCCTTGTGGAAGAACCCCTTCCTCGTGGGCGCGATCGCGCTGAGTATGGCGCTCCACGTCGCCATCTTGTATATCCCCTTCTTCACGGTGAGTACCCAAATCCACGTAGACCATGCTTCGTGCAGTGGCTGATCTGCTCCACCAGACCCTCTTCGCCATTACCCCTCTCAACTGGACCGAGTGGAAGGCTGTACTATACCTGAGCGCCCCCGTGCTCCTCATCGATGAGGTCCTCAAGTTCGTTTCGGTGAGTACCCTGTCTGCTTGACTCCCGAGTGCCACAGATCGGCTTACCGGCCGCTGCTTGCGTGCAGGCGACATTCATCTCCCCACCATCCAAACTGAAGGAGGACTAGATGATCTGGGATAGAGATACATACGCATTGTAGGCCCCATTGTAATGACTTGTAATGACTGCAAAACTTTGCAATAGTAGAGCTGCTGATCAGCACGCCTCGATGACAGAACGCATGTATGCGTAGCGCATCTTAACAGTATCTTTCTGCCTTCAGGCGTACAATGAATTCTGGCCTTACGCACAACGCACTGGCTTGGCTCTCGCTGGGGCGAAGGCTGAGTAAGCTTTTAGCGTACGACTCACTGCGCTAACCAAACGTGATAATGCACACAAGGCCCTTATCAACTTGCCCCGTGGCTGAGTTGGTTACAGCGTCCGACTGTTACCGAACTGTCAAGGTTCAGACATCGGAAGGTCGTGAGTTCGAGCCTCACCGGGGCAGCTCTTTTTGTCTCAATGCATGGGCGGACTCGGAGGCACGTACACGCTTAACGTTGGCAATTCATTGGACTCTTCAGCGGCAGGACTTCCTTCCAAGGGCCCACCAATATGATGTAAGAGGAGCCAGTCCCAGCCAGGCTTGATCTAAGTATACTTATGAGAGCATGAACTCAGCATAAGATGCGTAGAAAGCCTACAATGACAACGGCAAGTTCGACAGCATGCCGGACTTCGCCCATGCTATACACCGGACTCGGGCACGGTCAAATCATAGTTCGAATACCGGCGGATGGGAGGAACGCACCGATTAGACATATTGGGGACATCATCGCGGGGAACAAAGACCACGATGCCTTACACTTGGTCGTAATCGGAGTACACACTACCATCTAGTCTCGAAGTCAAGTAGGCATATACCCTCGAAGTTAGTGTGGCAGGAAGCGCTACAAACATTGGACAGCGTCGGACTGCAGCTACGTGGCATGCGATGTCGTGTCATACGACAGAGCGAGGTGGCTCTTCCATGCATTCCAGGCAGCGCAGCTGCAGTTTGCCGTGCAACGTGGTCTCGGGACCCGCGCATGTGCATGGGCTGTGCGAGTACTCGAGTACCACGTCGAGCGCAGAGTTCCTCCTTCACTTAGGCGTTAGCCGAGGCTTGTGGGCGAGATGGCGGAAAGTGCTTGCTCATACATAGTAGCCATACCTTCCGCATATCATCTCGGAGCTCGACCGGTCCGAGCGTCGAACGTTGAGGGTACTGCCTTCGTCCGCCTCAGCACCCGGCCGACGGGTGTGCAGCCATGTGCCCGCACACGATGAATGTGGGATTCCGAGACGACCGAGGACCGAGTTGGAAGGCCGATGGGCAAATGAGGAAGCCGTCTAAGTTCGACGAAGTGCTGCGGTGCGCCGTGACCTCTGCAGCGTGGCCGCAGGTGCAGCTTTTATTGTCCTTCTCCCGTGCAGGCGTTTGCGCCAAGGCGATCTGCACCGCGCTAGAAGTCTGAAAGCATGGAACGGGTCAACATAAGTGACGAGTAGCGCAGTCATCGCGGAGCACTCAGGGTAAACAGGACACATACAGTACATTTGCGACGTCTAGACCAGAACCCAAGCAAGTTCAATCTGTGCGGAGATGCCGCGCACGAATGTGATAGAGTGAGGTCTTCGATGCGTCTGCGTACGCAGCGCGAGGCAGAAGCGCAATGGATGCCACTGCGCATGCGCTTTCTGGTAGGGGGCCAAATGTCGTCAGTACGTGATCTGCGCACTCGAACTGGCAGAAGACATCCATCGGAAAGCCGGCGTGCGCCACAACGCCACACAGCACGGCGGGCGGGACACAGCGTCGATACCTTGGCCCGACGGATAAAGATCATAAGACGAGCAGAACAACGTTGACACCAGAGCGCGTCTTGACGAGTTGCCACAAGTGCGGTCGACTCGGATGCCGTCCGTTTCTCCGGGGCGGGCAGTGGCGGCGGGCGCCGAAGAGAGCGGAGCCCCGGTAATCAACTTGTCAGCTCTTTCCAGATGGAAAAGCGTGCGCGATCGCCATCTGCATCTGGATTCGTGCTCGCATCGATATCTCCTGCTGCACCGTCCACAGGCGCTGCTGCAGCCTGCAGGGTCGTTGGAACTCGGAACTTGGCAGCATCACAGAGTCGTCGGATGCAATTGGCTTGCAAGGTTCAGTGTATGTAGGTATAAGCGCGACGCGCGCGATCGCGACTTGCGAGAGTGCACGCACCCGGCGCACCGCTGTCTTTCGCCTCTTTCTAGCTAGCCTGACAGACGATTGCATCTCGCGATGTGCTCGATGGCTCGATGCGATCACAACTTGCTGTGTGCAATTATAGGCAAGCATCCCAAGCCCTTCGCTTGTGAATTGTGTGACGTTGTCAACTCGTCCCGGCCCGACGTCGAAGTCGATGAATCCTCCTCCGCCTGCTTGCGAGTGCCAAGTCGTAACACACGCGACTCGGACTAGCGACCGCTGGATTCCTGGAGGCCGGCGTTCGGTGGTGTCGACGCTTGTCGACGTTGCCAGATCTGATCCGCCTGTCACCACCCACTTAACGCGGTAACACATCGGTGATGCCGTCTGCGCCACGACCCCCGCCTACCGCCATGCTGCTGCTGCTGCCGTACGCGTGCACCGAATCCACCGATCGCTGCGCAGTGTGCACCCTCGACGCGGGACGCCGAGTCCGCAACACGCGCAGGTCATTACACACGTACGCTTGGCGGCGAGTCTGGACTCCATGGCAAGCGTCGGGACTCGGTAGGCGTCGGTCATTGACAGTAGCGCACTCGTTGATCGTGGCTTTTTTGTCCCATTGGCCCATGCGTTCCCGGCGGCGGCGACGAGGCTCAAAGCTTGAACCCACCGGGTGCACTCGAGCGACTTCTCACTACCCAGGCTAAAAGCCTACTTTGAGTACTGTACTTTGGTGTGATGCTTCGCTTGTGGGAGTGTTGTGTATGATGACCATAAGATCGGCAGATAGATAACCACTCGCGCGCGCGCGCAGGCAGATGCGTCAATGTTACAATGTACAGGAATCGGACAAAAAATAGCACAAATCCGGAGAGTCATGAGCAAGCCCATTGAGAAGAGAAGCTCGTGCACTGGTGACAGGCGGGAAGATATCACGGCGTAAACCACACTTACAGGGTCGCCTAGACAAACACCGGGCGAGACTGCGCACGACCCATCACGGTCCCACAGGCAACAGCAGCACACACAACCGACGACCCAACCCTGTTCACAAAGGCGTAAAACCCTGACGCTGGGAACACATCGAAGTCCACGCGCAGCGTCACGGACAGAAGATGGTGGGCGCGTTAGACCCTGTCCTCGCCCTCGCCTGCTGCGAGCACGGGGCCAGTCGTCGGACCGCGCGAGTGCTGATGGTGCGCATGCTCTTCTGGCGGGACGACGTCGAACCCGCTCCGCCCGAGCTCCGAGGGGAGAATCGCGGTGTCCTCGAGGGACTCCTCCGCGAGGAGCGTCCGGGTTTCCCCTTCGTCTTCGGTGGGGGCGGCTGAGGTGTGCGCGTCACGGGGACGGAGGAAGCGCGGGGGGTTGACCAGGCTGTTGAAGAGGAACTGTTGGCCGATAGTGTCAGTTATTCAGTATCGCTTAGCGAGCCGGAGGGTGAGATGGGAGTGGATAGAAGACACTAACCGTCCCGTATCTGCAAAACAAATTCACGGTAACCATGAGCATGAGCGTGTTCTTAGCCGAGGCGCGAGACTGAGTACGTACACCAAGAGCGCGAAGCCGGCTACTTGCAAAAGGGAGATAGGCCATAGAAGGACCTCCCATCCGAGACCCAGACTCACGATCCAGATGCTGAGCGTCCGGCAGGTATCGGTCAGACTGCGCGCGGTCGCGCTTACATGCCGCGTCACACTCAACCCGAAGAAGTTGAAGAGCGAGATGGACAAGGCGATGACAAGCCCGGACCACAGGACTGTGGGCGTGTCGACCATTTGGTGCCAACCACGCGGAAGGTCGAAAAACGGCGACACAGACGCATAGCGCGCAAGAAGCGGCATCGCGAGAACGATGCTGACCGCGCCGAAGAGGCCTTCATAGCCGACTGCGACCAGCGGCGCAACGGAGTAGCGGTTCATGATCTTCTCTGTAGGCGCAGCGTGAGATTTAATACGAGTTCAAGGCCGACTCCATCTCATAGAAGCAAGCATAACGAACCTTCAATGACGAATTGAGCGGCCGTACTACATAATTCCGACCATCGGCAGGGTGGGCGCGCCGGGAGAGAATAAGTTAGCAAAATATGGAGGAATTATACGCAGCACATCCGGATATGTGTGAGCGGAAAGGAAGCTGCGCAGAATAGACGTACAAGATCTGAGCGAAGAGAATAAAGAATACGCCTGCATGCATCGGTCAGATGATTGCGAAGCGAGCTGCGCACATGGAGGCAATACTCACCGACGAGGACTTTCGTTACTTCCGGCTCTTCGCCAGGTTCCGCAGGAGAGGATTCATCGAATACGTTAACTGCGGGCTCTTTCACGGCATCCTTGACCATAGACCCGCTAAGGCCGACGAGAGAGACACCTGCCATAACTGTGATAAGGGAGATCCATCTTGGGAACAAGAGTGAGTGGCAAGTCCAAACGCATACAGCAAGGTAGACGGGAATATGCTCAAAGCAGGAGAATGGGTGGGAAACAGGGCAGGACTCAACTGGTATAGCCAGAGGCGCCTGCGGAGGAAGATGACGGAGAGGACGCCGACGAAGAGGACGAGGGCGCCCCGGGTCATCTGATAGATCGAGACCGGGGTGTAGAGTAGGCCAACGTTCATCAACTGTATACGCGCATTGTGACGGAAGAGGGAAGTGCGCGAGCGAGGTGATTGGCATGAGAAGAACGGGTCGGAAATGGGCATGAGGAGCGCGTACCGTAGTGCCGGTAAGATCGCAGGCGGCGGGGAACCAGAGGAGGAAAACCTTCCAGCCGTGGAGGTGCTGCTGTGGCATCTCGGCCTTCGCGCCGGCGGCAGGCTCTTCCTCGGAATCGGAAGGGAGGCGCACAGGCTGGGAATGGCGCCTGGACCGGAGCCAAGTGAAGATGACAGGGAGGAAGCCTGATACATTTGCACGTGCATAACGAGGACGTTGAGCATCTGCAGTGGACAAGACAGGAAGGCATACATACAGAGCATCTCTCCGACTGATGCGGACGGTGACAATAGTAGGTCAGGGATGGATACGTGTGCGCAGACAGGCGAGAGGGGGCGGACGCACGGAACATCTGGAGGGTTTGCCACACTGGTTGTTCATACAAGACATGGTGGGCTGGATTGGGGTCGTCGCAGTTCTCTACACATTGCATGTCCTGCACCAAGAGACGTCCTCAGCCGGGCCAGCATGTATGCGCGCATACGGGCGATACGGACCTGCCACTTGCTCCATAACGAGTTGCTGGAGCCCTGGAGGCGTTCAGAGCGGATAGTAGGGC